AGGCCGCCCTAGCTGGGGCAGGACCTGCTGTCTCAGGCTGACGTCGGTTCTTCCCTCCCAATCCCGAAAAATGAGTGAGGGTATTCGATACTTACAGGCTACGACAGAATGTTAAAAACAGTTTTTTCCGTGTTATCCACCCCTTAAAATTCTGATTCAGACAAATTATTTCATCTCACGTGAAAAGAATTTGCTTGCTGAGGGGCCTTGTTTTCCTGCACTCACCTCTGGTGCATGGCGTTGGCTCCAGAAGATCCTGGGCCCCTGAGTGCTCTGGTGTTACCATAAACCATGTCAGATTCCATGTCTGTAGCCCTTGCTTCTGCAGAACTCTGTCAGCCAATACATAGCTCAAGTATTTTTGGTGTCGTCTCCAAATATTTTTTTGTTGTCAGGAGCTGCCAAGTGCAGTGAAAGCCAACTAACCTGGGATGAAAGGAGAATAAATAATGCATCTGCCTTATTAATTTTGATACTCTAAACCAAAATTAATACCAGCTTTTTATTGTGTTTTCTGACTTAAATATTCATAGCTTCATTCTTTTCAATACTTGTGTGTCTGATTCTGTTTTTTTTTTATTTTGTGCTCAAGTTTTAAAGTTTTAAAATGCTGTCACTCCGTAGATGACCATCTTCTCAAGCTGATGAATTCACTACATTCGGAAGCTGTACAGCCATCAGCTGCTTAGCTGCTCTGTTTGCTGATACTGAGAGTCTGGGATTTTTGGTAAGAGAGCGTGACTTGTGTTAGTGTTTTCAATGCTAAAACTTTACCTGAAGGACTCTTCTCAGACTGTCTGGTCTCTGACAAAAGCCAACGCAGTGCTGGAGACCTGCTTCACAGGTTGCACTGAGCACTTGAGTGCCTGAAGTCCTGACCTGCCTGTCACTGTGGGGAACCTTCTTTTGTTCCAGGGCAGGAAGATGAAACTAGGCTTCAGTAGTTGTGTGAATTTAATGTGTTCTTAACTGTAACAGAATGGACTGGGGGGCAAGAAAAGGGAGTAGGAAAAAACCTCTCATATTCAATATGTGAGTTTTATAAACATTTGTACTGTTTCATGGAGTCATGAAAGATGAACTAGATGCTAACAAGTCTAATTCTTGAATGTTTTCACTTTACAATTAGACTATTCAAAATGAATGAACATCCTAAAAAGAGGAAAAGGAAGACTCTACATCCTTCTCGATATTCAGGTAAGTCTAGAGCTTGAGTTGTGTACACTTGGAATATTTACTTTGTGAGAAGGGACCACGTGTGCTAATACATGGAAAATCTGTAACATAAAGGGTGGAATAAGAAGCCTTGGTCCACGTGCATTGAGTACCTGCTTGGCATGCTGCATTGTTAAGCCACTTTCAGTCAGTGCATCTGAACGGTTTTGTTCTGTACTTCCTGCAAGTGGGGAAACTTGCTCAAGCTACGGACTGAAGATGATTCTACTAACACACAAGGGGAGGAATTTTGTAGAAGTTGGGATGGGGGTGTCCAGAAGTGTTCAGCACTGAATGAACTGTGCTCCAGTCACTGTCTTCAGTGGGAGCAGAGTTTGATAATGACTGTTTCTGATACTCTGAACATCAGGAGAGCAGCTGAAAGTTGTAAATTGCAACAGTAATGTTATCAGGCCAGAACTGAATTCTCACAACACAAGAAGTAAAAATGCAGCTGGCAAGGAGAATTTTGGTGAACATGAAATGCCTAGATATGTAGCTACATTAACATGTTAGTATAAAACCATTTTTTTTAAAGATTCTTCAGGTGCAAGCAAATATATAGACAACAGTGGAATTTTTTCTGACCACTGCTACAGCGTCTGTTCTATGAAACAGCCGGATATAAAGTTTTCTGAAAACAGAGGTAAGAGTACATTTTGGGGTCTTGTTCTGCAATTCGTTACTAAGTGTATCATGGTCCTATTCATAAAAGTAAACAGAATACAAAATACGTAGTGGGGGACTTCTGAACATCGTCGTGATCTGATATGCCTTAGACTGGTTTAATCATTGTAATTGAAATATAATTTCCAAAGTAGAAGCAGTGATGCCAAAAGGTTCCTTCCATTTACAGCATAAGACTTACTTATTTAAATGTCCACTAGGTAGGTCATGTAAAGTTGACGTAATAAGAGTTCAGATGGAATTTACCAGCAGTTGCAATGAGCTGTACTTACGGAAGTGTTTTCATACAATACCCACTAACGGACATAAAGTTTAGCAGAGCAAATGTGAGGATGGATTTTTATTATATTTATTTTTCTTTTCACTCATAAATTAGCCAACAAGTCTCCAGAAGTCTTCCAAAGTATTATCTTTTAAAATGTGATGTCCAAAAATATTTAAGAATATTTCTTAAAATTGTGTCTTTCAAACATAGTTTCATTTAAGGATTTAAAGTTTTCTCCAGTATAGTCAATTGACTATTTTTTGCTGAAATTTTAAAGACAGAGTTGCCACCTTCTGAATTTTTTTTTTGTTGATTTCTGTACGTATGGAAATAATTTGAGGTATTTATTGTTACTTTCTTTAATGTAGATTATGATGAATTGGTATATAAAGATAAATTCATGAAACTAGAATAAGTAAATAGTAAATAAGATCTATGGTTGAAGGATCATGATGACACTAGTATAGACACACGATGACAAGAAAATTCTTCCTTTACCTTTGCAGGTAGATTCCACAGTCCTGCGCAGAGCCTGGACACAGATGATGATGGGAGTCCGGTGCATGCTGGGACTTCTCAGTGGAGTGGGTCACATTCAAACGTTGTGGGGTTGCATTACACAGACCCTAAAAAGAAGGATAAAGGTAAAGGTCAAGGTGTATTTGGAGCTTAGGTGCTGAGAAGCTGGAGAGCACGGCTGCTGGCTTTTAATGTAATGTTTTGCTTTGACAGAAGAGGTGAAGGATTTGTAGTTTATGTTACTTATTTGTTAGTTAAACATAAAACATAATCTGGCTGGGGGGAAAAAAACCTGTGTTTTGGAGTTGTAAGCTGCTACAACTAAATGAAAAGTTAAATATGGACCCAGCTGTTTTGCAGGGTGTTTTAACCTTTTGCTTTTATTACCTATTTCCTCCTGCAGATAAAGGTACTAATAATGGAATGTGCAGAGACTTATGTGATTCACCTATATTCAGTGACAGCCCTACAGAAGAAGAGAAACCTCTAGATATTCAAACTGTAGAAATTTCTACAACAGAAGTGAATGCTGTAGAAGTTCACGATATAGAAACGCAAACTGTATCACCTGAGAAGCTAGAAGCTGAGGACCTAGAGGAAATCCCTCTGGAAACCTGTAAAATCTTTGAGAAGAACCAGGCTTTGAATATTACAGCTCAACAGAAATGGCCTTTGCTGAGAGCCAACAGCAGTGGCTTATACAAGTGTGAGCTCTGTGACTTTAACAGCAAGTACTTTTCCGATTTAAAGCAGCACATGATCCTGAAGCACAAGACGTGTACAGACACTCATGTCTGTAAAGTCTGTAAAGAAAGCTTCTCCAGCAAAGTGCAGCTGATTGAACACGTAAAACTACATGAGGAGGACCCGTACATCTGTAAATACTGCGATTATAAAACAGTGATATTTGAGAATCTGAGTCAGCACATAGCAGACACTCACTTCAATGACCACCTGTACTGGTGTGAGCAGTGCGATATGCAGTTCTCCTCAAGCAGCGAGTTGTACCTGCACTTCCAGGAACACAGCTGTGATGAGCAGTATTTGTGTCAGTTCTGCGAGCATGAAACGAATGATCCGGAAGATCTGCATAGCCATGTGGTGAACGAACATGCATGTCGGCTGATAGAGTTAAGCGACAGCTATAACAGCAAGGAGCGTGGACAGTACAGTCTCATAAACAAAATCAGCTTTGACAAATGCAAAAACTTCTTTGTGTGCCAGGTGTGTGGCTTCAGGAGCAGGCTGCATACGAATGTCAACAGGCACGTAGCTATTGAACACACCAAAATATTCCCTCATGTTTGTGATGACTGTGGGAAGGGCTTTTCAGGTATGTTGGAATATTGCAAGCATTTAAGCTCTCATTTATCTGAAGGGATTTATTTGTGTCAATACTGTGAATATTCAACAGGACAGATTGAAGACCTTAAAACGCATTTGGATTTCAGACATTCAGCAGATTTGCCTCATAAATGTACCGATTGTTTAATGAGGTTTGGAAATGAAAAAGATCTTCTAAGTCATCTTCAGATACATGAGACAGCATGATTACTTTCTTTCCCTGTAATCGATTTGTTAGAATTGGAATTAATTTCCAGTCTCTGAAATGTGGTATTAAATACAATTTTAACAGCAATTGTACAATTCTAATGTTTTCATCTTTGTATCAGCAAAGCATGTATAACAACTTGGTGTCGCGAATTTCCTTTCCTAGGGGTTGCTGTAGGAATAATCACATTCACAGTGTGATGGATCAGATTTTGGGGGCAGGGACAGCGGGAGTAGTTGCATGTTGTGGTAGCAGTTCTGATGGTCATCCCGCACTTTCACACGTACTTTCTCACGTACAAGACCAGCTCTCTTGAGGTAAAAAAGGGACAAAGAGAAAGACAACATCTAGTTCCATGCTGAAGTGAAGCCATACTGATCTCGGCTGCATATCCAGGTCGTGTTACCCTCTGTGGCAGCAGGTCATTGTGCTGATGTTAACCAAATTGCACCCAAGATAAGGGTGTTCTAAAAATTTCCAGGCATGGACGTCTCCAAATCCACATACCAGCTTGCATTTCCCACCTCATACTCTTCATAAGTTTTAAAAATTATTCTGTTTGTCTCTTGGGGTACCTAAGCTCATTGTTCACTTTCTTTATTCAGTGTTTAATTTCCACTCCTGTCTGTGGGACTACCCAACAGCACTCTCTTCTACACATTTACTGCAGGCCTCCTGCATGGTTTTTGTTTCCTTTATTTACCTTCAGTTCCTATCTTCTAATGCACCATGGAGACCAGCATTACTTGTGTGTAGGTTGGGTCATGTTTTAAGGAGTAATTGTAAGGGCATTTGCAAAATAATCCAGTTGAGAATGTACAGAGTGTGATTTTCATGTCTAAATTCCTAATTTAGTTCTTGCTGAAATGATGTATGTCACAAACCTCATTTAGAGCAAGCCTCTTAGTTTATATTATTATAATTCTGTATATTTATAGTTAGCTTTCCACAAGTATTTTCAGGATAGTTATTTTAATTTTGTAAATTTTAAACTTCTGTATACTGTCTTAAAACACTTGTACAGTACAAAAAATTTATTAACTTTAGTCACTTGAAATGATTTCACACATCTGTTCAGATTAGATAGTGCTGTCCTGGCTTTATAATCTTTAGAAGTGAGTTTTTACAGTTCATCTGTAGCTGTATTTGAGTGGCTACTTGGACAGATGAAAATAAGGGGGAGGCCATTTAGATTGTGCTAGTTGTCAGGGTGAAATTACCCAGTAAATTTGTGGTGGATTTTACATTTCTTTCTGCATTAATTGTAAATTTGTATTGTAAGATTGTCTAATGCAAGCTTTGTATAGATATAATGAATGTATAAAACATTTCTTGATCAGTGAGATCCGGTGTTGTCAGCTTCAAGGTATGCATGGGGTCTTCACATTTGATTTTTAAAGCTAAGGATAAAAATTGTCTGAAAATGGTCAGTTTATGGAAGTTCTGATTTCTAGAGAAGTATTTCTGCGAAGTCTGCTATGAACCAGTTAGTGTATATTTCTTTGTAGGAGGCAAGACCATTTTGTCCTTTTGAAATGCTGATTTGCTACTAAATCTTCTGTGCAGTCATTGAAAAGGGCAACCTGATGCTGTCCTGACAGTATTATGTTTCTGTTGTATAAAGAATGACAATGTTGGTAGCAGAATTTCTAATTTCCTATTTTGAACAACATGCATCCTGGCTGGCTTAAAATGGTAGCAGTAATATAGTTAACAAAGCACTAATAAGAATTATTTTATATATGGAAACTTAATTTTGTTCATATGGGTATAACTGAGGGGGAGGGAGGGATCACTGGTTCTCTTAAAACCCTGCTCTTGGTGACGACACACAGGTGGATTGGCACAGCTGAGCTCTGGAGAGAAAGCTGCTCCAGGGGACAGTGACAAGAGGTGGAGAAAAGGCATTTGAACCCCCAAAATAAAGAAGTGGGCTTAAGAAGTATGCATGTTCGTATAGACCAGCACTGTGTCCCATACAGGAAAGGTGGTCTCTTCTAAGAACACAGAACCCTGTGATAACAGAAACCTTGCTTGTTGACTCCTGAATGACTTCGTCTCACTTTGACTTGTGTTATTTCTGCTAAACTGGGAATAAAAAGGATACCCCATAGGAATGCTGTAAAGCGGAATCATTCCTCACTACAATGCACCCCACAGTGTCTTAATTAGGAATATATTCAAGTTTGGTTTGGGTTGGATTTTATAAATAGGGCACTGATGTTATTATTTTCTTTTTAATATCTACCAGAAAGTAAATAGAAATGTACAGGAGTAGTTTGTCTCACTTTATCTTAGCAGGAACACAAGTAGGGTATCAGCTTCCACATGATCAGCATGCTAAAACAAAGATACCAAGTCACAGAATAAATAGGTAATACATGGAGTCTGTTTAGAAGTTGGAAGGCCGAAAGGAATGACTGCACATGTCAAGGACAGCGTGTTGTTCCCATTGAAGGGAAGTGTTTGGTTTATTGACGTGAAGTGCGTAAGTGGAAGGTCAGTGCTCTGACATTGCTGCGCCGAGGTGAACTGAGAGCATGTGAACGCAGCTGGTGTGCCATGAGACTTCAGTCCTCTGTAACCCTGAAGCTGGAGCAATTCATCTCATCTCAGCCTTGAAGGAGAGAAATTGATGGTAGTTATCAGAAGCATGCTGGTATTTTTTTTTTTTCTCTCTATCGGATTCAGTTGTTCATTACATGGATATCTGCGAGGTTCATCTGCTTCGGGAACAGCATTCTAACTAGAAGCTGTACAAAACCACGAGTTTGGTTTGGGAAGTGTTTTGCAGTTGGGAGTAACTTGTATTTGATTCTTCGCTTTCAGACTCTCCAGCCTTTAGGCTAGGTGTGTGTCAAGTATTTCAGCTTCCCGGATCATGTTTGTTACTGAGCAAAAGTTGTTTTTATATGAAAGATTCTGTTGGCTTCAAAAAAAAATTTAAATCTCACTAATTATTGCAAGAACTTAAAATACAGCAAATTAGTAATTGCCAAATAAAGTGTTCTCTATAATCCTTATTGTCATATATTCATTGTTTGTGGTTGTTCCCATTACGCACTTCTGTGGCGATGTATCAGATGTATAAATTATCAGTGCTTTTGAACGCTTCAGCCTGCCTAGCGTTTGTCATTTTAGCTGCCTAAATTAAACTGCGGTGCTGACAGCTCGCAGGAGCCCACAGTCCCGCTGCCCTGTCCCCAGCCCGGCTCTCCCCGGCCGCCCTGAGGGCTCGGAGGCCGAAGCACCGGGGCAGGCTCAGGCGCTTCCACCTCACGGGGCCTCCCAGAAGCCTCCCAGGCGTGTGCAGAGCTACTGCGAGCCGTCCCTGGGGGCCGTACCCAGCTCCTTCTCTTCCCGGGGCCGTGGGGATTTCCCGTACCAGTCCGGCCCGGCTCCATTTCAGAAGCAGCCGCGCCGTCTCTGCCCTCGCTGAA